GACTCCTATAACTTCCCTAGTAAAACTAACTGCATGCATACATATTACGTGTCCCATGACACTCCTTTTCTTACATAATTAAATAATAAATAAAACATAAAATTAATCCAAGTTTTTTGACATTTAACTATTCCAACAATCTCCCTCCTAAATGTCAAAACGTCTTCAAGCAGCTTCAAATATTGAGTCTTCACAGTATGATCACAAAATCCTCACCTTCAACTAAATCATCGCTCGGGTCCTTTTCTCCCTCCGAGTAGTAGCCATCAATGCTTGGGTCTTCGTCTCCCTCTGAGTAACAGTCATTAATGTTCGGGTCTTCGTCTTCTGCTTGCACACTTTCTGATACCTTGATGTCCTTGAGTTGAACTGATGTCTTAGTGGCGTTCCGGTCTTCCTGACCATTCCCCCTGGTGCATCTACCATCCGAGGTACCTACGCCATCATCAACCTGACAACCCTTTGTGTCTTGAGTTCTGTCGGTCACACTCCCGTATTTCTGACTCTTAATACTCGTGTACCTTTCGTACCATTTCTGAGCAAAAACAAAGTATTCGTGTGGGTGCAGAAGATAATCTATAAACAATCTATTAAATGCCTCACCATAACATTCTGGAAAACCAAAACTCTCTGCAATCTCGTTCCAAAGTCCATTCACGGTGATGATTTTGTGTCCTCCATGACCTAAGATCGATTTGTAAAGATCGAATAGACACACTTCCAGTTCCGATACCTTCGGTGGCACAATGATTTTCTTCATTGTCCTTGATCTTAAAAAACCATGCGAGTGCTTCGTTAAATTTCTTTTCGAAAAATTGCTTATTTGCATAAGCAATTCGGTCACACTTGACCAAAATCATGAAAGTGGTAAAGTCGTCGAGAGTTTTGATATGTACTTGCACAAAACTCCCACAAATCTCGATTTTTTCTTCCTCGATCATTTGCTTCTTCCCTTTGTCACATTTCTTCGAATTCGTACTCACGAATTCCTTCTTTTCTCTTGTTTCTTTCTYGGAATCGTCACACATATGAGTGATTTTGCACTTCAAATCACTTACTTCAACTTCGAAACCTTGAAGTATAAGTTGCTTCATACTCAAAACGTTGATATTAACTT